TTATCATCCATCCAAAATTACACTAGCTTTAAGATTATTTTGTTGCATATTAAGAAAACTCTTAAACTTCCTGCAATATGTTAACAGTTAAACAATATACTTACATAATATAAGGAGGTATTAGACTTTACCTTTTGTTCTATAATTTCTAGCTACACATGTTTATTAGACAAAAATTTAATTTATTTTACCTTTAATATATCATTTACTTCATGAGTTACATTAGAAAACAAAAGTATTATGAGTAAGATTATCTTACAAAAATTTACTCCCACTTCAATTGTTACTAATAATTTATACAAAATAAAAAATTAGACTGCTAGTTCATTTCTATGTTTAACCACTTTTGCAATTTTTTTTTTAAAATACAAGATAATTAATTCACCATTATAAAATGTGAGCTTGTTCAGATGACACATTGATCTTATGAGTAATACTTATGTCACAATCCGGATTCCCAATATCGGGGTCGTGATGACGCCTAACAGCTATTTGCTAAGCAAGACAACAATAGATAACAAAAAATTAACCTTTTAAACAACTTAAAAGAGAGTGATAACAATAATTAACGCCTAAAAAAGTTGTAATACATAAACTAAACCCATAACATATCGTGGTCTAGTCTAATCCCAGAAATCTGGAGTCACTAGTACATGAGCAACTAGAATATTACAAGTATGGTTTGAATGAAATACAATTGTTTGGAATGAAATAAACAGTAAAGACAGAAATAGAAGGGGACTTCAGGGACTGCGAACGCAACTAGCTCTACCGCAAGTCTCCGCTGTAGATATGATCCGAGTAGAAGCACCGCTAGATATTGTTGGGATCAATACCAGTATCTGCACAAGAAGTGCAGAAGTGTAGCATGAGTACAACCCGACCCAATGTGCTCTGTAAGTGTCGAGCCTAATACCGACGAGGTAGTGACGAGGCTATGACAAGACACTTACTAAGATCTTGTGCAGATATGTACATAAAGCAACAGAAATAACAAATACTACATTTATCATAACAACGGGGAGGGAACACGTAGAAAGGAAAGCACGTTAAAATGGCAAGTACAATATCACCAAGTAATCTCCTTCCAAAATAAACGACAATACAACCGAATAAATCACAAAATCTGAAAATCAAATAAAGCAATAGAACCAGTAATGGCATGGCATCACCCTTCATGCGTTTACTCTCATCCTCACCATATGTTAATGATATGATAAATAAAATGGCATGACATCACCCTTCGTGTTTTTACTCTCTTTCTCACATGGTATGATAAATGATAATAAGAAATCAAGTATGTGGCATCACCCTTCGTGCTTTAATCCTCACACTCACTCAAATCGATGATAGTATATGCAAATGAGGCACAGCAACACGCTTCGTACTTTTCACTCTTCCTCACCGAACAACAATAATAAACCAAGGTACCAATGCAAGGTGGAAAATAAATTCCACTTCAGTTATAACATTATGATGAACAAACTCAACATTCAATATCCCATAACTTTAAAATAAATAATAAATACAAAGGCGGACAATTAGAGAAATAATAATCGAACTAAGGCATGGAAAGCATAGTCAATGCAAAACCATAATACAATAAAATAATTTTCATCTGCATGTTTTAACCCAATGACAACGCATATATACTCGTCACCTTATACATACGCCGTCCCCACACATAATTCAAGTAGAAAATAGACCAACAACTCCTAATTCCCTCAAGTAAAAGTTAACCACGACACTTACCTTACTTCACAACCAAATCAAGGCTCAACCACGGCTTTTCCTTTGGAATTAGCCTCCAAAATCAAATCTAGCCAAATATTGTTCAGAGAATTCAAAATAAGCTTTAGAAACTACCCACAAGTGAAAAATATTCAATCTTTAATGAATTCGGAAAAGGTGAACAAAAGTCAACCACAGGCTTGCTTGGCCAAAACCCGAGATTCGGACCAAAGTTCGACTATCCATTCACCCCCGAGCATGTTTATATGATTTGTTTCGATATCTGACCTCAATTTGAGGTCTAAATATAAATTTTTCAAAATTTCTAAATTCTACCCAAATCCCAAATTTCTACCATGAAAATTCTAGATTAAAGGTTAAAATCAATGGGTGATTATGGAAATCAAAACTAGTTAAAAATTACTAACAGATGAAGTTGGGATGAAAAACCTCTTCCAAATCGCCTCTATGCCGAGCTCTAGCTTTCAAAAATGGCAAAAAGTGACCAATTCCCGATTTTCAGCTTTTAAAAAGCTAGGCGTCAGGTATTCTTCGCGTTTGCGAAGCACCTGATGCGTTCGCGAAGGGTACTGGCACAAGGACTACGCGTTCGTGAGGCTGCCATCATGTTCGCGAAGACTTCTTCCCAGCCAAGCCTTCGCATCCACGACCCAAGGTTCGCGTTCGCGATGAGGAGACATCTGACATTCCCCCCAGATCCCATAAAGCATCGCGTTTACGAGATGCCTGTCGCGTTTGCGAAGGTTAACCCTCCCCCCCCCCCCCCCCAACAATTCACGTTCGTGAAGAATAACCTATCCCCGAACCCAAAGCTTCCCTTCGCGATTGCGAGAGAAGCTTCGTAATCGCGAAGCACAAGGCATCAGACACCAGAAGTAGCAATCTCCTATGTCCAAAAATGGTCCGAAGCTTATCCGAAACTCACCCGATCCCTCGGGGATCCAAACCAAATATCCACACAAGTCTAAAATATCATACGAACTCGCTCACGTGATCCAAACACCAAAATAACATCTAAAATCACGAATCGGACATCAAAACGCATGAAATTCAAAAGAAAACTGAAGAACTTCTAGAATCACAACCAAACGTACGAATCCTATCAAATCAACTCTGAATTGAACAAAATTTTGGAGATAAGTTTCAAATAGAAAAAGTGACCTATTCAAAGTCCCAAAATTAAAATCCGAACCCGATAACCATAAAGTCAACCTACCGTCAAACCTAAGGAATTTCCTACCATTCAAATTGCAAACTTTCGGCAAAACAAGTCAAATCAGTCTAGGGACCTTCAAATTCAATTATGGGCATGCGCACAAGTCAATCACAATAAGGACCTACCAGAACCGTCGAAACATCGATCCGGGATCGTTTACCCAAAATATTGACTATGGTCATCTCTAGCATTATTTTTAGTCAAAATTTTTATTTTTTTCAAAATTTCATATAAAAACTTTTCGAAAAGCAACATGAAAATGCAAACTAAGAAACATTAAATGAAGCTACAGGAGGTCTCGGATCAAGAAAGTTAGGGATAGTAATGAAAACGACCTATCAGATCATCACATTCCCCACCTCTAAAAGGAACGTTCATCGAACGGACATAGAAAAGTACCTGGACTAGTGAAAAGATGGGGGTATCTACTCCGCATATCTGAATCGAACTCCTACGTAGCTGCCTCGATCAGCTGACCTATCCATTGCACTTTCATAGAAGGAAAATTCTTATATCTCAACTTTCCAACCTACCGGACATGAATAGCCACCGGCTCCTCCTCGTAGGCTAAGTTCTCATCAAGTTGAATTGTGCTGAAATCCAAAACATGCAAGTTGTCCTCATGGTACTTCCGAAGCATAGAAAAATGGAATACCGGATATACCCCTGCTAGGCTAGGAGGCAAAGCAAGCCGGTAAGAAACCTCCCAAACCCTCTCCAAGATCTCAAACGGCCCAATAAACCTCTGGCTCAACTTGCCCTTCCTTTCGAACTGCATCACGCCCTTCGTAGGCGACACTCGATGGAGAACCTTCTCACCCACCATATAAGCTACATCCCGAACCTTCCGGTCAGTATAACTCTTCTGCCTGGACTGAGTTGTACGAAGTCATTCCTGAATCACCTTAACCTTTTTCATATCATCACAGACCAAATCAGTGCCCAACAACCTAGCCTTTCTAGGCTCAAACCAACCAATCGGCGAACGACATCGCCTCCTGCATAAGGACTTATATGGCGCCATCTGAATACTCGACCGGGTAACTGTTGTTGTACTCGGCAAGAGGCAAGAATTGGTCCCATGAACCTCTGAAATCCATAACACAAGCAAATAACATGTTCTCCAAGATCTGAATGGTGCGCTCAGATTGTCCATCCGTCTGAGGATGACACGCTATGCTCAACTCAACCTGCCCGCCCAACTCATGCTGCACGGCTCTCCAAAAATGTGATGTGACGTGCGTGTCCCGGTCGGAAATGATAGAAATAGGCACGTCGTGCAGGCGAATAATCTCCTGAAAGTAAATCTGAGCCAACCACTCTGAAAAATAGGAAATCGCTTCTAGAATGATGTGTGCGGACTTATTCAACCGTCACATTCAATCTTAATTGTCATAAAATCTTTTTTTTCTGTGAGGTATACGCCATTTCATTTACATAATTATTTTTTATATTTTGAAAAAATTCAGAGTCCTCTCTTGGTACGATTAACCTTTTACTTGTAAAATTATTAACTGTATGAGAATAAAACAAATGACAGAGTCCAAGTCATTTATTGGACGAAACATATTCCTAGTGATAACTTACTGAAGACTGAAAGGGCATTCCTTGTGGATACCCTACCTTTAAAATTTTAATAAGAAAAGTGATAATTTGTGAATGAATTTTTAGCCATAGGCTTACAACATTGTCTTTTTTTTAATTTGTCACACTAATCACAGTTCAAGATTCATGGAAAAAGGAGTTCGGCTCAATTTTTCCAATATAAAGGATGGATTAGTAAATCGAAAAATAACATGTGATATACATTTTGAGACAAAAGACAATTGGAATATTTGGGTTTAATTTTGTAAAATATCAATGTGATTAATACAAGTTAACCAAAATTAAAAAATTATCATCTATCTTTAATATGGCCAAACAAATCAATAGAACAAGATAAAATATTTAACTGGAATAGTTTATTTCATACAAATACTTTGAATATAATCATTTCTAGATGATCGTACACTTAAACTATAAGAAAAGATAATCATTCAAAGGAAAGAAGTTCTTTAACATTGTTTGGATGCACCAAAACAGCCACAAGACGGGTTGTGATAACATTTGATTCACTAGCACTGATTTCCAGTTGATAAACAGTTCCGTCAGGAATTACATCAGTTCCTCCTGCCATCACTCTTACAAGTTGAAAGTTGCTTTTAGACTCCTTATTGTGCTCATTCACAGCAAATGTTGCGATTCCCACAACTGTAGGGTCATTTGGATTTTTTATGGGCTGCTCACTATCAAGAATATTATGTCTCAAGCCACTCTTTGCGGAGGAGACATGAAAGAAAGAAGGAACAACAACAATGACTGAGAGACATGAGAGGAGGAGAAAGTTAAATTGTTGGGCCATTTTTCTTTCACCTAAAATTGTTAGAGGAGTGATTAAAACCAAGTGATGTTTGACTTATTTATAGGAGAAAGTATCGTGAAATTAGTTTAGCCAGGTGAAATTAGATATGAATTAATTATTATTTTAGTGTTATAATTAGACTATTTTGGTATAATATTTATAATTAATAACTATCTTTGGAATTGAGAAAGAAATAGGATTTTAGAGAATACATATTAAGAAAATAATTATATGTTTTACTGTTCCAAGGAACTACTATGTGATTTTAATAAATGTTTTACTATTTCATATTCATTTGAAATAATTATCCTCCATCAAAAATTACACTAGCTTTAAGATTATTTTGTTGCATATTAAGAAAACTCTTCAACTTCCTGCAATATGTTAACAAACAATATACTTACATAATATAAGGAGGTATTCGACTTTACCTTTTGTTCGATAATTTCTAGCTACACATGTTTATTAGACAAAAATTTAGGTATCATTTACTTCATTACTTGCATTAGAAAATAAAAGTATTCGGAGTAAGATTATCTTACAAAAATTTACTCCCACCCTTATATTCAATTGTTACTAATAATTTTTTTTTAAAAAAATTAGACTGCCAGTTCATTTCTATGTTTAACCACTTTTGCAGATTTAAAAATACACGATAATTGATTCACCATTATAAAATGTGAGTTTGTTTAGATGACACATTGATCTATGAGTAATGTTTATGTCACGGCCTGGATTCTCAACCTCCGGGTCGTGATGCAGCAAGCCAATATTAGATAAAAAATTACCCTTTTTAACAATATAAAAGAGAGTGATAACAATTATTAACGACTAATAAAGTTGTAATACATAAAATAAACCCATAACATAGTAAGGTCCAGTCTACCCACGAGTGAAAAAGATACAATCTTTAATAAATTCGAAAAAAGTCAACAAAAGTCAACACCGGACCCGCTTCGTCAAAATTCGAGATTTGGACAAAAACCCATTTACCCATTCACCCATGAGCCCGGTTATGTGATTTATTTCGAAATCTGATCTCAATTTGAGGTCTAAATCTCAATTTTACAAAATCCTATATTCTACCCAAATTTCCAATTTCTCCCATGAAAATCCTAAATTGAAGGTTGAAATCAATGCGTGATTATGAAAATAATATCAAAACTAGTTAAAAATTACTAACCAATGAAGTTGGAATGAAAAACCTCTTCAAAATCGCCTCTAGGCCGAGCTCTAGCTTTCAAAAATGGTGAAAAGTGACCAAATCCTGATTTTCAACTTTTAAATAACTGGGTGTCAGGTGTTCTTCGCATTTGAAGCACATGACGCGCTCGTGAAGGGTACTGGCACAAGGCCTACGCATTCCAGAGGTTACCATCGCGTTCGTTTCTTCCCAGCCAAGCATTCGCATTCGCGACCCAAGGTTCGCATTGCGATGAGGAGCCACCTGACATCCCCCCCCCCCCCACATATCTCATAAAGCATCGCATTCGCGAGATGCCTGTCGCATTCGCGAAGGCTAAGCCCCCCAATGCTTCACGTTCGTGAAGAACAACCATCCCCCCAGCCCAAACTTCCCATACGCGATCGCGAGAGAAGCTTCGCGATCGCGAAGCACAAGGCACCAGACACCAGAAACAACAATCTCCGAAGTCCGAAAATGGTTCGAAGCCTATCCGAAACTTACCCGAGCCGTTGGTGCTCCAAACCAAACATCTACATAAGTCTAAAAATATCATAAGAACATGCTCAACCGATCAAAATACCAAAATAACATCTAAAACCACAAATCGGATATCAAAACGCATGAAATTCAGAAGAAAATTCAAGAATCTCTAGAATCACAACCAAGCGTCTAAATCCTATCAAATCAACTCTGAATTGCACCAAAATTTGCAGACAAGCTTCAAATAGCAAAACGAACCTAATCTAAGTCCGAAAACCAAAATCCAAACTCGATAACCATAAAGTCAACATATTATCAAACATAAGAAATTTCCTAACATTCAAATTGCCAACTTTCAGCAAAATAAGTCAAATCAATCTAGGGACTTCTGAATTCAATTTCGGGCATACGCTCAAGTCCAAAATTACAATACGAGCCTACCGGATCGTTGAAATACTGGTCCGGTGTCGTTTACCCAAAATATTGATCGTGGTCAACTCTAGCCTTATTTTAGTCAAAATTTTCATTTTCTTCAAAAATTTTGACATAAAAGATTTTCAAAAAGTAACACGGGCCATACACAAACCAAGAAATATCAAATAAAGTTACAGGAGGTCACGGATAATGAAAATTAGGACTAGTACTCAAAACGACCTATCGGGTCGACACAACAGAAGACTTATAACTGGCGATTTCATATAGAGATAAAATGTTTACATGAAAATTGTCACTACTCTAAATCTCACCAATGGTCGTGAACCCTAACCCGTTAGGTAATCCAACAATCATAACCAACCAAAATAAGATAAATAAAGGATAATTTGTTATCAAGATATAGATAAAACATAGATAAGTCTCAAATTCAACAATACCAAATGTGAAAGTATATCAACCAACTCCCAAAACTCCGTAGTACAAAATCATTAGCTACTAAGATAAAATACAATTGAGTCTTGTAAAATACAAGACTATTGTCTGAAATAAGATAAACAGTATGATAATGAGATGAAGGTAACTTCAAGGGTCTGCAGTCGATCAAGCAGCACTACCTCGAGTCTCTTGAGTCAGCTACTGGGCACTCTCCTATGATCCACTACTGCCAATGTCAAAATCTGTATAAAATATGCAAAAGTATAGTATGAGTACAAAAATAACATGCACTCAGTAAGTATCAAGCCCAATTCGAAGAAGTAATGGCCAAATTTTGACAAAATATGATACTCACTTTCTCAATCTCAACAATCCATAATAGCATGAAATTACAGAAAATAACCAAGGACAAATATAATAACGAGGTGCAAAATCAGAAATAGGATAAGCATGTTTCTCAAGAAAAATAACCAGAACACAATTTATTTGCTAAGTCTGCATATAAAGAGGATATGCACCAAGTAACACCTATATGAATACTTTTATATGAGTCTTGGATGTTAATGCATGCTCAAGACTCAATCATAACCAATATCCAACACATCACATGTGCTCCAATATGATCCAACATATCCCACATGCTCAACACGATATGCGTATGACATGCACTCATAGGGCCCAATATTGTAACGACCCGGTCGGTTGTTTTAAGTATTACAGCCCCATTCCCCTATTTCTTGCTTATCCTATGTTCAATTGTTATTATGTGACTTGTCGGGGTGGTTGGTTTGGTTCCGGAGATGTTTCGGAATGAATTTGGACACTTAGTCCCAAGGTTGGAAGCCTAAGTTGAAAGAGTTGACTAGATGTTGACTTATATGTAAATTACTCCAAAATGGAGTTTTGATGATTCTGATAGCTCCATATGGTGATTTTGGACGTTGGAGTGTGTTCAGATGTTGATTTGGAGGTCCGTAAGTGATTTTGGCTTGAATTAGCAAAATTTGGAAAAGTTGAGAAGTTTGACCGAGAGTTGACTCTATTGTTACCAGGATCGAATTTTAGTTCCGAAAGTTGGAATAGGTTAGTTGTATCACTTATGACTTGTGTGCAAAATTCGAGGTTAATCGGAGTTGGTTTGGTATGTTTCAGCATTAGTTTTGGAATTTAAAAGTTCATAAGTTCATTAGGCTTGAATCGATATGTGATTCGTGGTTTTAGTGTTGTTTGATGTGATTTGAGGCTTCGAGTGAGTTCGTATGTCATTTTAGGACTTTTTAATATGTTTGGTTGAGGTCCCGAGGGCATCTAGTGGATTTTGGATGGTTAACGGATTGAAATTGTACTTAGAAGATTTGCTGAAGTTGTTGATGCTTATGCTTCTGGTTTCCTTATACGCGAGCAAAAGTACGCGATCGCGAAGAGCTGTTTGGGTGACTGGGAAAATTTTTCTATGCGATCGCAAGAAATGGTCTACGATCGCGGAGCTTTGACTGTTTATGAATCGCAAACGTGGGTGTTGGCGCGTGTCCGCAAAGAAGGAAGGGGGGAGGCCTGAAGTCCACGCGATTGTTCTTCGCGATCGCGTTCGCGAAGATTTGATCGCTTCCACGAAGACTACTTTGAGGGCAGCATAATTTTTATTCTTCGCAAGCGCGAGGAACTTTTCGTGATCGCGAAGAGGAGCATCTGGGCAGATTATAAAATTTCAAAAATGAGGGTTAGAGTATTATTTGACATTAGGACTTTGGGAGCTCGGATTGAGACGGTTCTTGGAGGGATTTTTAAGGAATTGGCTGGAGTAAGTGATTCTAACTCGGATCTGATTAATATACATGAATCTATCATTTTTTTTTCCATTTAATTAGTGTTGGGTTGTAAAATTAGAAAAAATTGTAGAAACTTCATAGACTTTAATTTGAGGATTTGGAGGTCGAGCTGAGATCGGAATTGAGTATTTTTGGTATAGTTGGACTCGTTGTTGAGTGGGTGTTCGGATTTTGTTAATTTTGTCAGATTCCGAGATCGGGGCTCGGGGTTGACTTTTTAGGTTGACTTTTTAACTTTTGTCAAAGAACCTAGCTTTATCATATGGAATTAATTCCTATAGCTTGTGTTGATTATATTAAGTTGTTTGTGGCTAGATTCGAGTCGTTCGGAGGCCGATTCGCGAGGCAAGGGCTTGTTGGAGCAGGAATTTGCGCAGTTTAAGGTAAGTAACACTTCTAAACTTGGTTCTAAGGGTATGAATCCCTGAAATACGTGTTATGTGATTGGTGTTGAGGTGACGCACATGTTAGGTGAAGGGCGTGTGGGCGTTAACCGTAGTAATGTGACTCGGTTGAGTTCATGAAACTGCATAGTCATCTAATCTTATTATTATTCATGTATTCTCAATGTGTTAGAGGAATTGAGTTGTGATTCATATTAGAAATCATGTTTAGGCTATAAGTCGGTACTGTTG